AGATGCTCCATTCTTAAACCCGTACCTGATAGGAGCCTTATGACTGCATCTAGGTTTGTCTATGGCAATATTGTAAAACTAAGTTTATTGTTGTTAAACATTAGAAGATTAGGTTTTAGACATTGGATTTAGAAAGTCTTAAGTATCATATTTGAGGTTTTAATTACATTACTCAACCAGAAAATTGAAAGAACTTTCAAGGTATCTTACTGAATAACTGAATGAAGATCTCAAGACATTACAAAGGCATTTATAGTGTCAAGTTATACTTTTCTGAGTATGATTTAGACTAAGAAATACTAAAACTAATAAAATTAGAAATAGTACTCCTAATAAAAATAGAAAAACTAATTACTAATAAGAATGAAACCCCAAAATATTAAATCTATAATTATAGACTCTTAAATATTATAGTAGTGTTATATTTTATTGACTTGTAATTTGTAATCTATTTGGTAGTCTATAGCTAATTCATTCTGCATTAGTATCCTCATTCCCATCATTTGACTAATTTGTTAATCGAGGTGCTTTTGGATCCATCAATCTTTAACCTTAACTCCTCTCTGGTAATTGGCAGATATGCATTTTCTTGACTCGGCATCTAACTTAGATCATTGGTTGCTGCGGATTTGTGCATAGGCTTAGCAACTTAATTCTGCTTATCTATACCTTTTCAACAACCTCTCCTTTTTCCAAAGGTGATCTGTTAACATTAAAGTAGGCTCTGTTAAATGCTTATGCACAAAAGTGTTTAGGTAATCCAGATTGTGATCTCGTAGTTCTTGCCGTTTCAAGCAATATTATCTTCATCCTCTCTATGATACCATTCTAGTGTAGCATGCCTTGCAACCCATTTCTTGCAGAAATCGAAGGAGTTTTGACTTCTGTACCGACTTTATTGTTTGACCTAACACATTTGATTTGTTTCCAGACTGTTGTTTGACCTCGATTTTCCATTGTTTAACTTGGGAACACTACAGACTTTTCCTGGATGAAGTAAATCTGAACCTTTTTGAAAATATCATCAATGAAATTTACCAAGAATTTGGCTCCTCCTTGCTCTGGTATCTTGACTGGATTCCTTACATATTTACCCATGTACTTTTTTTTTTCACACATCCTTACTTTGATGTGGAGGAGATTTGATGCTTATACTATTCTGTTACCGAAGAATGTGGTGTTGAAATCAACCTCAGGATGTTTAACCCTCTTCAACATCTTCCTTTTGTGAAGCTCCACCCGCATTGCTTGTCAATATACTACCCCAGACGCGTATGCCATAGAGTAGAGTCATATGTGATGAAAGAGTAGAAGTATCGCCTGTAACTGTACTCCAATTGACTTGAACAAAATTATTTTCTATTCAATTCTCTTTCATTACAACCATGACTCTTTTATTAATCTTTATGATATCACTGCCAGAGTCTACAAAAACCACGCAAAAGCTCTTTTCTAAAAAGCCTGAGAAATAAAATTCTTTTTCAATTCGCGGACATGTTTTAGAATTTTCAAGATTCTGATGCCCTATTAAACATTTCAACTTTAACTGTCCCTATACCTATCAACTTACAGGGACAATCATCACCAACAAAATACTACCAGGATCAGTCTTTGTAAGTAAAAAACCAATCTCTATTTGCTGTAAAATGTGACAAGCAAGCTGAGTTCTAAAGTCCAAGAAGAAAAATTCGAAGTGTCCCTTCAGAACCGCCATTAACTCTTTTCCTGAGATGTTCTGGTGAATGGTTGTTTTTTCTGTAAAAGGGCTGCATAGACCTGTAATCATCTACTCCTTTGGTGCATGGAGGTTTATAAGCTTTGGACCGTGGTTAATGAGGAGTTGAGTGGGTGATGGCGGGATCGGTTAGAGAAGAGATGTGAGCATGGAAGGGAATCAGTGGGAGGAGAAAATACGTGGACATCATTCCAATCACAGTCTTTTGGGTAGTTTGGAAGAAGAGGAATGTAAGAGCTTTTAAAAGGGTAGATGAGGAGAATGACTTTGATTTTATCTTAAATCCTTGGTTTTTTGTTTTTGGGTCATGTTTTATACTATATGGAGAATTTTAGGAAACCTTATTGACTTACTGATAAATATGTAAATATTTTTTACACGGATTGACACCTTCTTGGTGTCTTTATTAATAATACTATTTATTTCAAAAAAGAAAAAAGAAAAACTCTTTCCTTCAGATGTCTGAGACTTCCCTGGTAGAACTTGTAGGTTCTCCTTCTGTTCATTATTTTTCTTCCACAGTTAGCAATCCTGCTTGCAGTGACTCTTCTGATGGCATTTAGAACATGCAACTTTCTTACCTTTTGCTTGGGACCTTCCCTTGGACTTTCCTCTTTATATATCTTTGAGATCAATCCCTTCCACAATCAGTATCTGCCATTAATCCTTTTTATTGAGAATTTCTGTTTCAATTCTTCTTCTTCTTCTGATGGGACCTTAGGACTGTTGCCACTTATAAGAAAGGGTTTCCTTTTCATGTATCAATGTGGTGTCAAGATGATTGAAAGAGACAGGAGGGTACAAAGAAACAAAATTGCCTCATCTTCCTCGTCCATCTTTACCTCAAACTGCAACAAATCACTAACTTCACTATTGGACTAGGTTATGTGATCAACCTGATCCTCTTCTTTTGCCCTCTTGATGGTACAAATCTCTCTCTAGGAAGAGTTTATTAGTTATGCTCTTTACCATGAACAGACTCTCAGGATTTGCCCACAAAACCTTCACCAATCTGTCTCCTATTGCATCACAAAAAATCAAATCCACCAAACTTATACAAACTGTACTGAAAGCTATCTGCTCCTTGTCCTTTAAGTCTCATCCATCTTGACTGGCTTTGATCCTGTTAATGCTCAATGACCATCTGTTATATCAGTAGATTTTTTTACCCAAATTTGCTGCAGACTGAAGTTGCCTTTTCCATTGAACTTGTCAAATTTTACCTTCAGTACATTCATCCTTGCTGTGGATTGCAGAAACCCTAGACCTAGCATCCAACCAACATAAGAAACCCTATCTCGAGATTGCCAACCTGGCTTCAATACATGATATTGTAGAAGTACCAGCAAAATGCACATGGATTGAAGTAAAAACAATAAATAAACAAAGAACACCAAGAATTTTTTGTGTACTTTGGCCTACTTCATGGAGCTACCTATGAAAATCTTCCACTACTCAAGGAGCCGTCTTATGACTAGCGTTTTTCATATATAGTGGAAGCAGAAAATCCAATTTGACCTTATAATAAAAAACTCTCTTTGAAATGTATTGTATTTTTACCTTTTTTTTTTACTTGAATGATCATATCAAGGCCTATTTTTGAATAGTGAATTCTCTAATATGAGCAGCAACTCAACATTTACGTCTAAGGAATCAACTATTTGAAATTGCTTCATACCCATAGAAAAATTCATTCTTTACATGGTAGATCATAAAATTTAGTAAATCTATTTCTTTTTTCAAATTGATCTCTGTTGGGTGGTTTATATGACTGCATTTGCATTGATCATGCCCTTTGTGTACATGCAAAGATTCAATGGAACTCATCTCAAACTATTTGAACTGACTCCAATTCTCGTAAAATGGAATGAAGTTTCAATTTTCTACATGGTATGTCAATTGAAAGAGAGAGAGAGAGAGAGAGAGAGAGATTCGTAAGAAATCAAATCAAACTGTTCAAACTCACCTCAGTACCCTTAGAATAGAGAATTAACTTTAAATTCTATACATGTTAGTTTGTGAAATTTAGCGACTATCTTCATCTCTAAGTTCAGTGAAGCACATTTCCTTACATTCTCATGACCTCAATTGAGTGGGTTCTATGAACATGTGCGTGTAGATGGTGTTAAAATATAAAGGTCAAAGCATGTGGCTTCGCTTTTTTCACTTTAGTGCATGTGTTTTTTTCTACTAATTTATTTTTTTGAATAAATTACTAAATTAACCGCAGAAGTTTGACATTTATCACAATTCAATCCTTTAGTTTTTTTTGTTCATTACAATTTGGTCCATGTTGTTTCTATTTAATTTAAATGTGCAGTTGTTTTTGTTTCTTAATAGAAACAATTAAACTAATTAGATCATGTTTGAATATTTTAAGAAATAGTTTAAAAGAATGATTTTGACTAATTAATTAAATTAATAGATTAATAAATTATTATAGATAATAATAGGCCTTGTTTATTGTTATTTAATTTATTAATTTAATTAATTAATTAAAATTATTTTTTTAATTATTTTTTTTTGAAAAATTTTAATATGATATAACTATTTTAGTTTTTTCTATTCGACAATAGAAAGAATCTGAATGTTTGAAACAAATAAAAAATATTAGTGATAAAATTCTAACAAATATTAGGAACGATGCTACAGCAAGAGTTAAATTTCATGGTCTAATTTGGGAATTTGCCCTTTTTTATTATTTTACGTAAAAACATTAGTTTTTTATGCTCTTTTCTTGTAAAATTTTCGTTTTTTTTTTAACTTTAATTTGTTTAGCCTTAGACTTCTAGGTGTATTTTTATGTAGAAACAAATGCATGTCTTCCAAAAATTAACAGCATTGGCAGATAAAGACCATGGGTATTATGTTGTAATTTGCCCAAATATAAATAAAGAAAGTTGATTATTTCCTATTAACTTAAGTTTTGAGATAATTTGGTCAACATAATTATTTCATACGTTATCAACCTAGAGGTCAAATGTTCGACTTATAGCCATTTGTATCGAAATTGAACTTTTGGCATAAGATATAATGAACATTCTTTATCTCCACTTTCAACCTAATGAACTTGCACAAAAGGGGATGCATTTAAATAAAGGTAATAAATTGTACACTTTTTTATGATATTAAATTTTAAAAATGATTAGATTAATTTAACTATTTTATTGGGGATGTTCGTATATTGGTAGAGAGAGTGTTACTCACTTCGACTCTCATAGAATCAAGGATTCCATTTTATACATGGTAGAACATGAAATTAAGCAAGAACTCCCATCTTTGAAGAAGTGCAATGAAACCTTTTCTTTATCCTGTGTTGGCCCTGGTTAAGTGGGTTATTAGTGAATTTATGTAAGTGACGAACTTTGTCTACAAGCATAGATAAGAGAAAGAGAGGGAGGGAAATTCATAGGAACTTGGATCGACCTATTTGAGCTCGCGTCTATTCTCATACAATTGAGAGCAGTCCATGCAATTTAGCAACTACATCCATCTCTCTCTACTCTCTCTCATAGAGGGAGTGTGAGAGATAGAAAGAATTGTAGAAATTAATCAACCTACTTGAGGTCACTTCAGCAATTTATGAAATTAAGCGACTACATCCATCTCCAAGAGAGCCCTGTTGTACTTATTCATGATTTTATTCTGCATGTGTGATCAAACTTGGTATTATGCATATATGTAAAATAATGAAATTGGATGGCCAATTATCTCATAAACTTAAAATCATTTGACCATCTTATTGGAGATGGTAATAGAACCAAAGGTATCAAACATTAGGAACCTTGTGCCTTTGACCCATGGAGAATCCTTAATCTTGCTTTGGCTTGCATCCTTGTTGCTTACTTATTGGGTCTTTATGCATTTCTTAGGGCTGACTCCATGTGTAGTTGGAGATACATATTAGAACGTAACATAAATTATAAGTTGAACCACTTTCTATTGTTTTCCCAACACTTACTTCACAGGATCAAGCATGGCATTTTAGAGAGAGAGAGAGAGCAAAGTTCCTATTTGTGTTTTTTTCAGTTTTCCTTTCCTTTGAGCGAGGAAGAGGGAAGACTGTGCTAAAACAAATATCAATCAAGTAGTTAACTAACATTCATGGAACAGAAGTGTTGTTTTGTAATATATTGGGCCTTAGCTGCTTGGTTGTGTGTGTTTTGTTTCCATAAAATTTTATTGTAATTTATTTCCCAGAAAGTTTAAGACTGTAGAGTTATACCATTATTTGAGTAATGATTTTGTGGTAATTATCTAGTATACTCGTCCAGGTCTTGGCTGCCATTGATCAAGGAGAAACACTTTTGAATGCTTTGCAAGATGCTGTTCCAGAGGATGTCCGTGGAAAGCTCACAACCGCTGTATCTGCAATATTGCACGCACAAGGAACAAATCTAAAACTTGATAGGCTTCTGGATATTAGTAGAATAAACAAGAAATCAACGGGGTCTAGGCCAAAAACTCAAGAAAAAGCTGGAGGTCTATCTAATTCTGAAGATCTGCATAAAGATGCCCATTCTTCAGATCAAACAAAGAGGTTGGATGATCTAGTGGATGGTGCTAATAATACTCAACCTAGCTTGGACAAACCTGCTGGTGACATGGGATCAGAGCTTCGCGCTTATGAAAATCAGCAGAAATCTGATGATGCTGCTCAGTCCCAGTCAATCAGTCACCAAGGAGATAGTTCTAGCTTAGCTAGGAAGAGCAGTAATCAGTCTGGAACCAATAATGAAAATAATGAGTTCATCAAAGAGAAAGCTGCTTCATCTCCTGATTCTGCTGAAAAGGATTCAGAAGCTGATGTCAAGGCTAGTATTACCAGCAGAGTCGAAAAGATAGGTGAATCTGAGGGAGCAATTATTAATGAATACAGAGTGGACCAAGATGTTGGAGCAGCACAACCAGGAAAGAGGGAGGACAATGTTCAGAAAAATGAAGAGAAAAGTCTGGATTTTTCTGATCAGAATAAGACAGTATCTGTCGATGCGGCAGAAGAAGCATCATCTCTGGGATCTTCTTCTGAGTCCCAACCAGTGGATAGGGACGGTAATAATCACCAGAAGAAAGACAGTAGAAATTCTCTGTCCATTTCTGATGAGAATATACCTGCAGTGTCTGATTCAAATCCCCCCACATTTAGTGTTTCTCAAGCATTAGATGCCCTGACAGGGATTGATGATTCTACTCAAGTTGCTGTTAACAGTGTTTTTGGTGTTATCGAAAATATGATTTCACAGTTAGAAGATGAAAAAAATGACAAGAATGACAAGGATGAAAAAATTGATTCAGTGTATGAGAAACAACAGATTGCCAGTGACCACATGGGTAATGAGGAAGTCAAAGAAAATGATCATTTTGATGGATCATATGAAACTCGTCCTTATAATTTCCCTGAGAATAAGGCAGGCTCACGACATGGTGTGAGGACTGGATGGATGGAAGAGGAACATTGTAAGTATTCTATTTTACAGAATGAGAATGACGCAGATAATTCTCATGGAAAAAACAAAAACAAACTAAGCATGGAGAGGAAAAATAAGAATCAGTTGGTTGGCAGCAAACTGCTGGCTGATTATTTTGACAGGCGAGTGAATAACATTCTATCTTACGCAAATGTGAATCCATACATGGATTCTGTCAATTATGAATATGTCAGTGGATATCTCCTTTCAAAAATGCTGAGTGCCAAACCACTAGATTTAGATACAACAACCGCACTTCTGCTTGACTACTACCCGGAAGACGGTCAATGGAAGCTCCTGGAACAACCTGGAAGTCTTGGAGACTCTATGGATGATGTTAGAACTAGTACAGTGGGATATGGAAAGATTTCTCATTCACCTACAAAATCATATAATGCAGATAACTTTATTGAACCATCTTATGTAATATTAGACGTAGAGAAACATCAGGAACCTGTTGAAGGATATAAAGGGATTGATAATAGGAGTGAAAATATTGAAAATGATGAGGATAGACTAGAAGAGTTCATGACTTTTGTAAAAGCCATTATAATGGATGCTTTGAAGGTTGAAATTGATCGCAGAGTAAGTGCATCAGATATGAGAGGAATCAAATCCGAACTTGCTAGAGATTTAGAAAAAGTAGCAAATGCTGTCTCTTTGGCTGTTGAGCGTGATCTGAGCAATACTAAGTGTTTTCAAAACAAGGACGATAGTATGGACTATACTTTGGAAAAAGTCGGTCCTCTTAACGGGGGAAGTATTATTAGGGCCATTTCGTCTGCTATTCTGCGTACAAATTATCCGAGAAGAATACTACCAGTGGGTGTAATTGTTGGCTCTTCCTTAGCTGCTCTGAGAAAATTTTTTCATGTATCCATGTTGTATGACAATGATCAAAGTAATGTTATGACCATTGATCAAACTGAAAGCTCTGGGGGGACAAATCATGACAATATCAATTTAACTGCGACTGCTGAAAAAACTCTCCAAAAGAGCAGTCTGAATATTCCAGCAAGTAGAGAAGAGGAGGAAGGTGGATCAGGAAATGTTAACAATGAAAGCATCATGATTGGTGCTGTTACAGCTGCACTTGGAGCATCGGCTTTGCTGGTTCAGCAGCAGGTAATACTTTTAATCTGAAGTCTTTGCACACTCGTGCACTTGTTTGAACAGATGGACATGATTGCCAATTTGTGTCAGTATAGAAGCCTTCTATGCTACAAGACGCACTCAACACCACTTATTTCATAGTGCTGTTTCATATATTGGGTTAATCAATTGAAAATTTCTGTGATGTTTTGGTCTCTTCTTTTTCTTATTATGTGGTCATCATTTTGATCATTAAACATGAAGGGAAACGATCCACCGAAAGATGAGGAAACCGATGTAGGTTCATCCAGATTGAAGGAGAAAGGAAATCTAAATAAAGAGCCTGACAAGCTTGAGGAGGTGGGATCTGAAAAGAATCCAAATAACATAGTCACAAGCTTGGCTGAGAAAGCCATGTCTGTTGCTGGTCCTGTTGTACCTACAAAGGAAGATGGTGAAGTGGATCAAGAAAGGTGTTTAACACATGACCTGTGCAAATTCCTATTATGTATGAGATTATCTGTAATGTTGCCTTTCTAACCTTATTTGTATTTCTCTCTCTGAACAGATTAGTGGCAATGCTAGCAGACTTGGGACAAAAAGGTGGCATACTGAGGCTAGTTGGAAAGATTGCTCTGCTTTGGGGTGGTCTTCGTGGTGCTATGAGTTTGACAGACAGGCTTATCTTGTTTTTGCGGATAGCTGAACGTCCATTGATCCAGAGGTAAAAGTCTCTAATCATCCATTTTGGCTACTTTCATGGCCCCAGCAGTCTTTGCTCTTCTCCTCTTTTTCTCTCCTGGCTTCATGTGAACTTTAAAGGCAGCTTGACGAGAATTAGTGACAACATTGCCTTATCAAGGGGAAGGATGTTTTATGTTAGAAGAAGAAACAAAGTAGAAAACTGAATTTTTTATTGAATAACTACAAGAGATTATACACGTACTTATAGTGTTGTAGCTTCATAAAAGGAAACATTATTATTTTGGAATCCATGATTTATAAG